TATATAATTATAATTTTAATATATTTCGCTATTATTTACTTATTTATTACTTAAAAAACTTAGTTTTTTTAAATAAATAATTATATCTGTATAAAAATTCAATTAAATGTATTAAAAGTTTAACATTTATAATTATATAATATATCAATAACATAGTTTTTCACTGTATTACAAGTATATAAATATATAATTCACTGTATATAAAGCATATTGACTGCAACTTAGTTCTTAACTATGTTAAAGTATATAAATACAGTAAAACCTCTATTAACGGACACCCTCGAATAGCGGACACCGCTACTTAATTAATTAACGCACATTTTTACCCTTCAAATAGGACATTGTATATTTACCAGTAAACAGAGGGCAAACTTCTCCGTCCCGACGGTGTCCGCTATTCGGAGGTTATACTATACAATGAATTATATACAGTATACACATATATTTACGGATAAATATAATAGTTGTCCTATTTGAAGGGTTTGGAGATTGTAAAAATGTCCGTTAAGTAGAGGTGTCCGCTATTGGAAGGTTTCACTGTATATCAAGTATAGTTCTTCACTATATAAATATTTCAAAACATTGTGTATATATTCTTCAATATTAATATAAATATACAATTATTAAAAAATTAGCTTTGACAGGAATAAACATTCAAATATAGTCAAATATGTCAAATCTCTTATGCATGTAACTTACTAATATTAAAAATAAATATATAAACCTTACAAATATGTAATTTAATATAATATTTACCTTTTTTTCTCCGATTTCTTCAAAACTATCACAAGATATATCTTTTTTCGGTAAATTTAATAGTTCGTACCGATGATTTGGTTTCATAACTAAGCTTTGGTTTTAAACCCGTTATCCCCGTCCAAGTAGACGTTGTATTCAAAAATAACAGTAATCTGATCGATAATAATAATTTAAATTAAATATATATAATATAACTAACGACAAATATTGAAGTTTTTATTAAGCAAGAAACAACAACAACCATCATTGATTGCCATTACTACATTGAATGAATAATGTCGTCATTCGCCGCAAGTAGCGCTACTGTCGAAATCGTTTATTCCGGAACCTCTGGCGGTAATATTAAAAATCGATTTGTTTTTTTTTTAAATCAATTCTTAAAATTTAATGTTTATGTGTATTTTTAATTTTAAAAAAATAATTTTTAATAATATTAAATAAGCAATGTTAATAATAATAATAATATATAAAACATATTAAATTGTATATTTAATTCAGTAGTAATAAATTAAAATAATGTCTGTATTTGTGATAAAGTGTTAAAGGATAAAAATAAATATGATTCTTTATGGAAATTAGATTCATTTAATTGTTTATTTCGCTAAAATCATTAGGTGGTGAGAATCGCGACTAGTAAAGCATAAACCGGCTGGTTGATATACATAGTAACTCATTAACCTATAAATCACGAGGACAATTCCTGAATTCCAACCAGTACAAAACGAAAAATCTATTGACTGATGATATAATCAACTCAGATTCGGAAGCGGTTAAGATGGCGGTTCCGAAAGAGGCGGTGCTTCAATCAAATAAATGCATAAAAGGAAATACATAACAGCGCATATGATAAAATAATTATCTATTTAAGTAAAAAACGAAGCTTATCAAATGATTATATTGTAATAAACTATAATAAAATTTATTTCATCTATATATTAATATATTTCGTTTGTTCATTATCTTGTTTACTGTAACATATTTTGAAATTTTATAATAAAATAATGTAAATTGCTATCCGGATGATCATCGATAAGAGATTCTCCTACTGATGTGAATATGAATTTGATCCGAAGCTCACTTCTCAAGAGTACAGTAATTGGAATCAGAATTTCGTTTTCATATATTCAAGCATAACAGTCACACCATTGTAGATCGAATCTGGTCTTAAATTAATGGGTAAAATTATATCTTGCCCTTGAGCATTTATATTTTGTGTAATAAATTTAAATATCTTCTCGGTGGCGCGTTAAACTATGGGCAAAATGGGCAATTGCCTGGGCCCCAAACCAATCTTCTATAGGAAAATACTCCCTCTAAAAAATTCCCGCGAAGAAAAATATCTGAAGTTAACGCTGTAGATGGGGCTCCCTGATTCAAATTCGCTTGGGCTTCATGAAGCCGTAACGCGCCACAGTATCTTCTATGAGTAACGTTCAACACCATTTATTCAAGAAACCGGTTAAAAATATAAATTTAATTTAATTGCCAATATAATAATTACTAATTCGAAAACTAATGTAATAAAGCTTTGAATATTAATAACATTATTAAACAACGTTATTCAGAGAAACGATTCTATGTATACATTGTGACTGTTCAGAAATCATTTATTGAACTTTAATAAATAAATAAATTATATTTATTTTTCTAGATTTCTTGAAAAAATTATACAATTATCTTAAATTATAATTTTTAAAAAACTATAACACTTTATATCAATAGTAGATCCAGAAATACCCAAAGGAAGCTAACTCAAAAATTCAAAATATTTGAATAATTAATAAAGACCTTTTATTAACATATGCAAAATGATTGTATTGCAAATGGTTTGATTTTGCCTCATAAATATTTTTAAAAACAATGTGTGACGTTCAAATAACGTGTGTTTGTGTCAATGGGGAGGGCTTAAGTTACTGTATCTTTTTTTCTTCATTCTTCATACTTAATATTCGTGTTTGGGCTGCAATTTGAAAAAAAAAAAAAAATTGTAGACTTACTTGTCAGTCTGTCCGTCTGTCTATCTTTCCTTTAGTCTGAAGAACGGAGTTAGATAGATGAAAGCCGAGACTATCAATAAATATGGAGAGATTAATAAACGAACTTTCGATACAAATCGGAAGTCACGTTATTTCAATACTACAGTATTTTTGTTATGATTAGATTAAAAAATTATATTATGTTATATTTAGTTTTTCATTATTTTAAAATATTACAAAACTAAAATTTCCGAAAAAATTTTAAGTTAAACTTTTTATATTTTATTACTCTATTAGCAATCTTCTCATATAATCTGATCTTAAAAAAGAGGGAGAAAATGCCTGGAAACTTTACCTTTTGTGTAAGAAAGTCTTCCAAACTTTTTACAACAAAATCTATTTAAAAAAAATAAAGAATTATTATTATTTATGTGAAAATAATTTTAATTTATTTACGCTATTATTAATGCATATTATCAAGTAGTATTTAACTATGACAACTTAAATAATGAAACATTATTAAAATATTTTAATTAGTATAGCTTCTAGTTTTTATAGATTACTTATAGTTTGATCTTTACTACTAATATATAATATTTATTTTCTTGTAGAGACAGGTTTTGGTAACAAAAAAATTTTAACAGCAAAAACTCAAGAATTAAGAAAAAAATAAATGTGGAATGACATATCATAATGCAATAAAATGAAAAATTTTTGTTTCTAAAATTTTGTAACCGACTAAACGAAATTACAAATTTTAGAAGCAATGAAGAAATAAAATAAAAGATTAACTCTGCTTACCTTTTAATTGTTTTTCTATTTTTTTATGGGCACAGTACAAAGTTGCCTAATTATTTTTTAGTGTTTTTTCCTCCTCTTTAAATCCAGCTTTTAGTAGCAAAATATTTTACTTTAATAGCAGAAAATTTGAATGTTATAATTCAGTTTTTAATTAGTTTTCCCTAACCCATAATAAAAGTAGATTTAGCGTTTATTAGTAGCAGTTTATGCAATTTTAGCATATATTTTGCATCTGTTACTTGAAAAACAGACTTGGTAGAGTTCAAATTATTTCAATTACATACAAATGTTACTCATTTTGATAAAATAAAGTCATATATCTATATAGTATATTGCTTTTAAAACAGTCAAATGAATTTAGTAATAGTATTACTGTACATTATAAATTT